ATACTCTTTCATAATCACAGTACAATTAACTAAATCAAGAAATTATCACTGCTGATATCTAATCTACAAGTCTCAGTCAAATTTCACCAATTTCCCCATTAACATCTTTTACAGTAAAAAAAGAGAAAATTAATTTTATGAGAAAAAAACCTGATTTTTAAAAATAATTTATTTTTCTCTGCTCCAGGATCCAATCCAGGACCACACATTGCATTTTAGTTATGACTCTTTAAATTCCATTAATTCCTTTAATCTGGAACAGTTCTTCATCCTTTGTCTTTCACGACCTTGAAATTTTTGAAGAGCACAGGCCGTGTATTTTTTACAGAATGTCCATCAACCTGGGCTACGTAAACGTTTTATGCGATCTTGTTAGGTCTTACGTATATCACAATTTTAAAAATGAGATGCAACTCGGCGAGAAATAAAATAAACCCAGAAACAGTACATTTCAAGCACTTAGCCAAGAAATCAGTAAAACAAGCGGATTTATCAAGATACGCATTGACATTTTTTTTAAATAGCTATTTCTCCTGATTACAAAAACAAAACAGTACTAACACAGAAAACAGATGTAACATCGAAGGCCCCTCCCGTGCCAATCACCTGCACTTTCTCCCGTCCTGGGAAGAAGGCCTCGGCCAGAGGCAAAAACCTCGCCGCGTCACAAACTTTGCTCATTCGCAGGCGCCATTTTCTGCTTCACAGGCACCACCTCCCCTCTGCAGTCTTTCCTCGGCCTCAGGACACGCCCCTCGGCCCACGTCACAAGCCTCTTTCCCAGGCGCCAGCTCCCTCCACCACGCAGGCTCCGATTCCCTCCCTCCCGCCCACAGCCCTAAGGCTCCGATTCCGCTTTTCTGCCTGACGTCATCCGCTTTCCCTAGCTCTCAGGCGCCAGGCAACCGCAGGCCGCCCCTGCAGCCAGATGCTACTTAAACACCGCGCAGACCACGCCCCTCGCCCTCGGCCGCCGAGCCCGCCTTTCCCAGGTTCCGAGTTCCACCACGCAGGCCCGGCCCCACCCCCGTAACCGTTTCTTCTCCGGCCCCGCCCCCGCCGCCTCTCCCAAACAAACCCTCTCCTGTTCTCAGGCCTTGGGCGCCACCATACAGTCCCCGCCCCTTTCCCAGACAAGGCGATCCACTCGCAGGCACTTCCCCGCCCTTCCCGCCCGCAGTCCCACAGGCCACTCCCCCACCCCCGCGGTAATTCTGCGGACCTCGGCCGCCACGTCCTCCGCAGCTGCCTACGCCCCCGCTTGTCCCCCTCCGCCGAGGATCCGCTCGCAGCCCTGCCTCACCAGCTTTCGCCGGCCCGCAGTGGACGCCCTCGTCCACTCTCGCCGTTTTCGATCTGGAGCCGCTGGCTCTCGAGGCCCGGCACAGCTTCGCGCTGCGGCTCTTGGTCCTCGGCCGCAGCCGCCACATTCGCTGCGACCGCCGCCATCACCGTTCACCCTCCTCTTACAGCTACCGCATCTGGAGATGGGAAGAGGCCCCTCAACGGCCACTTCCGGATTCTGATCCCGGAAACGGAAACAGAGCCCCCCAAATGGCCAGGGGGCTACTGCCATCTTGGAAAGGGACCCCACGGTCGGACGCGTGGAGGGGCTAGGCAGGCATCGGACTGTGGGCGGTGATCTATGCGGCTAATGGGCGGGGTAAAACCTCCAGTTGGGAACCAAGAAAGACAAAGGTGCCTTGTAGGACTTTAACGCCATGTTGAGTCTGGGTAAAAGGTTGTGTGGAAAGGTACAGGCGGAGGTCCCCGATATGGACGAAGACATTTTGGGGAATGCTCAGGGACACAAAGGTTCCGGGCTTTCTCGGTCCCGTGCTTTGCTGGGGAGCAGGGGCCCCTGCCCTGAGAGTTTTTGTTAAGCTGACCAGAACGCCCTACCTTCATTGCACTGCTCTTCTCATCCATCAAAACCTGGTACAAGAAAGATCACCACCCAGGCCTGCGGGCTTTCCCTGCCTGAATTAGATTTATTTTCTTGACAAACGTGTTGAAGGCAAGTCAGCCTCGAGCCCAGTGTATTTGTTGGCATTATAGCAATGATAACTTGTAATAGTTGGCCCTATTTAAGTGCTTTATTGCATGTAAATAGTAGCCTTAGGCAGCAGATAAATACCCTGTCACCTTTGGACTTCAATGGGGCAAGCTGAGGACCAGAAACGTTAGTTCATTTTGTCCCAGCTAGTAAATGGCTGAGCTGTGGTTCGAACTCAGAACTGTGACCTTAAGCACCAGGCCATAGATCTCAAACTGTGGTTCCAGTCTTCTTACTGGTTCAGGAGACCTTCTCAGGAAGGTTCACAAAGTCAAAACTATCTTCACAATACTTTTTTTCATTGTCATTCTTTCCTGCATGTGTGGTGTAATATTCTGAGGCTACATGAGCAAAAGTTCTTTAGATGTCCTCAATTTTTAACACTATAAGGGGATCGTGACCAAAAAGTTTTGAACCATTGCACCAGGCCAGGGGTTCTCAACCTAGACGCCATTGACATTTCTCTGTCGTGGGAAGCACTGCCCTTTCCCCACTGAATAGCAAGTTATCATCCCCTAACTGTTTCATTCCCAAAAGTGTCTCCAGACATTGCCAGTGTTCTTCGGGGATGGAGATCACTGGTTGAGAACCACTGCACTAGGCTCTGCCATCCTCATCTGCTGGGGCTTCCAGCCTTTCCTCTTGTTGGTAATTTGAGTATTTCACGCTCTGGCTTCCTGTATCTACCTGCCTATTGGCTGCCCCCACCTGACCGTCCTATATACTCCCTAAGACAGGCTGATGATTGTGGCTCTGGTTCAGTGACTTCCTTATCACCACCCATCTCCACAAGACCACCGGTTGCCTTCCCACACCTCTAGGCTGGTGCACATAGCTCCCTGAACCTGGAGTGTCCAGAACACCCTCTCCCCCTGCACAATTTCAAGCCCCACCCATCCACTGGATATAGTAGTTTACCTCAACTTTCAGTTAACCTCTATAGAGCAGGGATTATGTCTCTGTTACTGTGATTCCAGCCCCTAGCCCAGACCTGGCACAGCTGAGGGGTTACAGCTCAGTTGTGTAAACTCTGAGGGAAATGAGACTAGCCCTTTCACCCTGGGGTCTATAATGGCACGGAGTCTGGCAATTGGCAAGTAGCTGGTCTTCATGCCCAGCTGAATCTTGTCAGATTCTCTGAATTGCCTCTCCTCATTGCCCCTCTGCAGACTTCTCCTCCCCACTTACTGGGTAGCCTGTCCTTCCTACAGTTCAGCAAGAGGTCTCCCGTCCCCAGGCCTAGACTGGTTTCCTCACCTTCCAAAGGCCCACCTCTGTACACACCAATGACCCTACCACTTCCCAGAGCAGTTGTGTGAATTCTAGTCCTTTTAAGTCTGGCCTGGCAATCCTGCCTCCCTTTACAAGGTCCTTGTCTTCCCAGCCTCCCTTGCTGCCAGAGGTGGCCATATCATCTTATTCTAGCCACAGAACGGCACCGAAGTCTGTTGAGCTTGTGGAAGGTTCAGCCCTGTTACAAGGTAATAAGACAGGACAGATGTCCTGTTTTCCTCGCTTGCTTTCCCATCTCTGGGAACATGGCAGCCATCATGGAACTAAAGCTGTAGGCTGAGATATCGCCAAAATGCTTACAGGGGCACAGTGGAATGATTAATGGTCCTCAGGCCTCCACCACTGGACTACGGTAAGCAGCCTTAGCTTATTACCTGGAGTAGGCATCACGTCCTTCTCAGGGTTATCTCACCCATGCCCATGGTTTCTGTTACTTCCTGGACACCAATAATCGAAACTTCTAATTCCATCCATTGGTGGCCCCATCTCTGAATTTAACCCATTTAAAGGATTCCCCTACCTACTCAGTGGTCCAAAATTTACCCTCCTCTCCCACCTCCCTCTCCAACTGGCCTGCCTCATGGTGTCCAGTTCTGACATGTGGTCATACTGGGCCTCTCCTCCCTACCTCCTGGTTTTATTGGGCCTTCCCAAGTGTCTTGCAAACAAACAGCCCCTCTACATACACCGGTCCCCACCATCTGGCTTCCTCATACACTTGGGTGAATCTCACTCTTTTCTCTCTGCTTCATTTTTAGTTCATCCTCTATTCAGCCTGCCCCACCTGCTTCAACACAATGTTCCACTACTGCGTGGACATAGTCATGCCATGTCCCTGGCCCACCTCAGTGCTCTCCTAGATGATGGAGACCAGTTACAAATTCTCCAAGGTCCCAGAACTCACCATGGATTGAGCCCACCCCTGCCCCTTCAGGGACTTGCAATCAGGTTTTTCACTTTAGACTTTTTAATATTTCATACAGCGATTATGGTGCATTCAGGAACCCAACCCCCCAAACCCCACTAGGAGGGCCCCCACCCCAGCCCTCCCACCCCATTTGAGGGCCCCAGGTTTAGAGTGGAGGACGGGGAAGTAACCACCCATCTGGGACTGACCCCAGACACTGTCCCTGCCCTGCCTCACCCTCCCCAGGGGTTCAGGGATAACACCTGGGCCCGGACCCCATGCACCCCTCTGCCCCTGCTTGTGCACATATACACACTATGGCTCCTTGAAGAGTTGGTCAGTTCCTGGCAGGGCCCTACTCAACAGCACCGAGTGGGACAGGGGCAGGAGGGTGGGGCTAAGGAGACCCTGAGAAGGAAGGAGGCCCCAGCTATGGGACTGCAGGAGGGAAAGAGTGGGGGCCCCCCACCTCGTCCACCTCCCAGAGTCTCTCCGGTAGTCCGCAGGTCCCCCTGCGGCCGAGGATGGCGGGCAGGGGGGTAGGAAGGCGAATGGTCAAGGCATGCTTTCCCTTAGCCGACCCCAGGGTCTGGTGATGGTCAGGGTTCCAAATAGGGGCTGTGTCCCTGCCTTGGAAAGGCTGGGAGCGGGGCTTCATTGCACAAAATACTGTGGGAGGGCCACACGCAGGGGGTGGGGCCCAGCCAGTCTGTATACAGAGATATTGCATTTAAAAAATGAAAACCTCATTTAAAATAATTAAAAACAACAATGAATGAAACAAATAAAAAAAGGCCCACACAACATGAGGCAGGTGGAGCAGGCAAGAAAGCCGGCAGGGGAAGCCTCAGACCCAAGGCATTGCCACATCCTGTCTGAGTCGAGATTCCCCAGCCCAGGCTAGCTCCGGACCCCTGGCTGGCCGTGGGGTAGTGGTCCTGGGGGAGGGTATGATGGGGAGGGGAGGAAAGGCCTGGCCTCAGCGTGGGAGGCTGGCACGGCCATGCTGTCCGCCGGCAACTTCCGAGACAGAGAGAGACAGACAGACAGACAAGACAGACAAACCAGGCGAAGGAGCGATGAGAGCTTTGTTAGCACCCAGCAGACAGGCCAATGGGTGGGCTGACAGGCCAATGGTCGGGTGTTCGGACAGGCAGCGGGAACATATGGGCAGGCGAGCATGAGTCAGGCAGGTAGGCAGGCAGCAAGCGAGGGGGATGCAGCTGGGGGCTGCCCTGGGAGGGGAGTGGCATCCCTCCGGCGGCTGCCTGCTGGGGCCTCGGTCTGCGGCTTAGAACTCAGCTTAGAACTCGGTGTCCACCACGCGGAAAGCTGGCCTGCCTGGAGGGGGAAGCAGAGGGGATGGCTGTTGGTGGGTAAGCAGGCGGGTGGCTGGGGCAGGGAAGAGGGCGAGGGCCACACCTACCTGAGTCAGGCATTGATGAAGACCGAAGGCTGGCCTCCTTTTGTAGCTGGATCTCCTTTAGTGCAAATATGGAAGTAGCTGTGGACGAAGAGAGACACTGGGAAATGACCCACAGGGCCATCCAGGATCACCTCCCACATGGCCCCCTTGGGGGAATTAGAAAAAGCTGCCTTTTCTTTGAGAGGCTTGACTTTTGCCTATCAAACAATCCTTACACACAGACCAGCTACAGCTAGGGAATATGGAATATGGACTATTACATGATGCCAGAGAATCAGTAATTCTGTCAAGTGTGACAATGGTACTGCAATTACCACCTGCTGAGTCAGATGATGGTGCTTGGGATTTTAGTTTAATCTAGTGGGGAGATGCAGGAAGTGGGCCATTTTTTTAAGGTATATAATATTGTTACGAAAAATATTTTAGAGACACATGCTGAAATTTATAGATGAATGACATATCTGGGATCTGATTCAAAATAATCAGAGGGAATACAGATAAAACCATATTGGCCACAAGTTGACGACCTGTTGGGAATACTTGGGGACTCATATTATTTGGTCTAATAAATAAATATATATAATTTTACTTATTTTTTTTTCTTAAAAAGATCTTATTGGGGCAGGCTCCTGGGTGGCTCAGTTAAGGGTCTGCCTTCGGCTCAGGTCATGATCCTAGGGTCCTGGAATTGAGCCTCATGTCGGGCTCTCTGCTCAGCTGGGAGCCTGCTTCTCCCTCTCTCCTTCTGCCTGCCGCCCCCCCTGCTTGTGGTCACTTTCTGTGTCAAATAAAATCTTTAAAATAAAAATCTTATTTAAAAAAGAGAGAGAGATAGAAAGAGGAGTATGGGGAGGGACAGAGGGGAGGGAGAGGGACAAGCAGACTCCGCAGAGCCCAGTGTGGGGCTCGAACTCACTACCCTGAGATCATGACCTGCGCCAACACCAAGAGTCAAATGCTTAACCAACTGAGCCACCTAGGTGCCCCTATTTATTTTTTTTAAAGTAACCTCTATACCTAATGTGGGACTCAAACTCACAACCCTAAGATCAAGAGTCATATCTCCACTGACTGAACCAGGCTGGCGCCCCCAAATATAGAAAGGGGCACCTGGGTGGTGCAGTCAGTTGAGCGTCGGGACTCCTGGTTTTGGCTCAGGTCATGATCTCAGGGTCCTGAAACTGAGTCCCGTGTCGGGCTCTGCTGCTTTAAGACTCTACTCTCTCTCCCTCTCCCTCAACCCCTCCCCACCACACACTCCCTCCAAAATAAATAAATCTTTGGGGTGCCTGGACGGCTCAGTCAGTTAAGCGTCCAACTCTTGGTTTTGGCTCAGGTCATGAACTCAGGGTCCTGGGATCGAGACCCGTGTCGGGGTCCACGCTCTGCTGGGAATCTGCTTGAGGACTTTTCTTCCTACCCCTCTGAGCCCCTCACTCACACTTTCTATTGGAAATAAATCAATCTTTAAAATAAAAAAGAGAACACCCTGTGTGATTACGTTTCTGCATAGTACCAAGAATGGGGAAAACCCATGCTGTTAGAAGTCCAACTAGTGGTAATCCTTGGGAAGGGGTTAGGAAAAACTAAATGAAATAAGAGGGCACCTTCAGGGAAGCTCCTCATATCTTATTTCTTCTTTCTTTTTTTTAAGGTTAGAAAGAGAGAGAGAGAGAGAGAGCGAGCACGAGCACAAGCAGGGGGAGCGGCAGGCAGAGGGAGTGGGAGAAGCAGACTCCCCGCTGAGCAGGGAGCCTGATGCAGGACTTGATCCCAGGACCCTGGGATCATGACCTGAGTCAAAGGCAGATGCCTAACAGACTAAGCCACCCAGGCGTCCTTCATATCCTATTTTTTGGCCCGTACGCCAGTTACACAGGTGTGTTTAGTTAGTGAAAATTCACTGTGATGTATACTTACGATCTGTGCATTTCATATATATTTTATAAGAAAATGTTTACTGGAAAAAGGGAAAGTGATGTTGCATCTATTTTTATGTATGTTTGAAAATTCCCAGGAAAGGTAAAAAGGAACCGAAAACCAAGTTAATTTTTGTAATAAACGCATCACGTGTCTGAACAAGGGTGTGCTACCCCAGAGGTGACACAGCCAGAGCCCTGCACAACCTGCCCAGCATCTTGTCCCCCACAGCCCCCCACCAGCTTTACTCACTGTCAGGAAGTTTGTGGATCCGCTCCCCCAGACTGAGGAAGAATGGATGTTTCATGGCATCCTCTGCGGAGATCCGATTGCGACCTTCAAACTGAGTGGGGGACAGGTGTGGGGAGGGCAAGGGGTGCTGAGGGCGGTGGCGGTGTACTGAACACCTTCAACAAGCAGGCCTCTCTTCCTCCCCACCCAAGACCATGCCCCTGGAGCTCCCCCGTTTCCCCACCCCTAGAATCCCCTAACCCTCAAGGCTGGCCCAGGAAGGTGGACTCACCTGCAGCAGCTTGTTGAGGAGGTCAGCCCCATCGCTGTCAAGTCTACAGCAAGGACAAGGGGACCTGCTTTAAATTGAGTTTGGGCACTCTGGCCCTTAACACTCGCCCACCCACCCACCAGTCTCACCGGGGTGCATGGCTCAAAAGGGCCTCGGCTCGATACTTGGGGTAGTTGTATGTCTTGAACTCTTCGTTGGACAGAATGCCTGGCCACGTCTCCTCGGTTGGGGTTCCTGGTGGGGAAGAATTACCCTAAGCATTCACAGGGCGTCACTAAATGTCCCCACGGCTCCTAGGGCCCATTCCTCCTCACCCAAGATGCGGAAGATGAAGTGCAGCTGTTCCTCCACGGTGGAGCCTGGGAAGAGGGGCCGGCCTGTGGCCATCTCATAGAAGATGCAGCCCACACCCCTAGGCAGGGAGGGCACAGTGAAAAGGTAGGCAGTCGGCTGACTGGCCATTGTGACCAAGCCACCGCCTTCACTACACAGCTCCTGCCACACTTCCACCTGTCCTCACCACATGTCAATCTGGGTAGAGTAGTCCGTGGACCCAAGCAGAATGTCAGGGGGTCGGTACCACAGTGTCACCACCTCATTGGAGTAGGTCTTCGTTGGAATCGACTTAGCTCGGGCCAGGCCTGGGAGGTTGAGAGAAGGGGCAGCTGGAATTGAGGAGGTCCCAGGCAGTCTGGGGGAGAGGACAGCTGGGATGGAGAGTATTTTAAGCACAGCCCGGAGAAGCTGAAGGGGACTGAGATTAGGTGGTCATGAAGAAGGAGGGTCTGAGAGGATAAGGCTGGGGAGTCATGGGGAAGAAGGGGGAGGCCAGGGTACCAAAGTCTGCCAGCTTCAGTTCTCCTCTCTCGTTGATGAGCAGGTTTTGGGGCTTGAGGTCTCGGTGTAGCACCTTCTGCCGGTGGCAGTAGGCCAGGCCACGGAGCAGCTGGAACAGGAACAGCTAGGGACCCAGGAAGGGCAGGTGGAGGTCAAAGTATATCCAGCAGCCCGACCCCCAGCAGACACTGCTCTCCCTCCCAAACACAGACACTGAGCCCAGAGCCTTATCTCACGGAAGAGGACAGGGTCCCAATGCCCTCCAAGGGCTCCCAGCAAAAAAGACAAACGGGAAAAGTCTGTTTCTGGGAGATTTATGGGGTGGAGTGGGTGAGTGGGGGCCCCCGTGTGCCCCCGCTTCCTGCCCCACACCCACTTTCACGTTGTGCATGTTGATGACGTTCCCACAGTCATCCAGGTACTGCTTCAGGTCCTTGTCCTGAAGAGAGGAGAGGAGATACAGGAGAAAAGAGGGGACAGTGGCCATCTCCCCACCTCCCTCCAGGACCAACCACCACTCAACCTTACCAGGTACTCAAAGACAAGGGTGAGGGACTTCTCCGTGTGGATAATGTCATGTAGCGTGACGATGTTGGCATGTTTGAGGTCCTTGAGCAGGGACACTGCAGGAAGCATGGGAATGAGATGGGGGAAGAGTTAGGACCCCACCCTCAGGATAGAGGCAAGGATGAGGACCAGACAGGGATGAGTCCAAGGTTCCTTTCTTTCCCCGTGCACTCTGGGGTGGCGGCTCATAGCCACTGGCTCTATCCCACCCGGTGCTAGGGAGGGGTGTTCCTATGTTCCAGATGTGGAAACTAAGGCTCAGAGAAGAAGTTTGGAGCAAGAAGCAAGAACCTGGGCTTATAGCCCCAGGCTTATGTGACATTAGATATTCACAACCTGTCTTTGCTTTCTGGAAAGGGGTTTTGCTTCAACCCTCAGTACAAAGGCTCACAACTTCTATGAAATTGAGTTTGCACATGTAACTTCTATGTAATTCAAGCACATTCCGTGGGACAGTCAGACTAGAAACTGTCATGTCAAGGAAACGTTAGCACTTCCACGGGTGCTCTCAGAACCGGACAAAGCAAGCACTCTGCTTTCTAATTCCTTGGCCTCTTCTCCGAACAGGAACAGATCCCTGATTACCTTGATTATGACCTAGATATCTGCATGATGGGCACTTTCTCCTGAAGGCCAGAGTGTCAGAAGCGAAGTCTCAAAACCCCCAGTCTCTGTTCTCACCGTGGGGCGCGTATGGATGAGCCATGGGGAGAGCCCGGGAAGCCTGGGACGGCCTTCCTGGGTGTCTGTACCTTCCCGGATGGCGGTGCAGGGAGCCCCCTCTTCGTGTTCCAGTCTGATCTCCTTGAGTGCCACAAGGTTGTCTGTGAGCTTGCTTTTGCCTTTGTAGACGGTGGCATAGGTACCCTGGAGTGTGAGGAAGAGTGACAGGAAAGGAGCTGGAGGCTGCGGGAAGCTCTCGCGGCCCCCTATCCACCCCCCACAGGCCTCCCGATTGTCTCTCACCTCACCCAGCTTGTCCAGCTTGATGTATGTCTCCAGTTTCCCAAAGCCAATCTCAGACTGTGGGGTAAAGGGGCAGATTGAAGCAGGCTCACGGGAGGGGCCAGGGAAGAGAGAAGTGGGCAGAGTTAAGGCGAGGCCAGAAGCAGGAGATGCTCACCAGGCTGACGCGGCGGAGGCGGCGGCTGAGAGGCTTGTCAAAGATGGGGCTGTTGAGGGTCAACTTCTCAAGGTAGCCCTCAGGCAGCCGGATATCGGCTGGGAGCGACAGGCGCTTGTTGATGTCCTAGCAGGCAAGACAGGTGGGAAGACCATGAGTGCCACCTTCCCGGGTTCCACCCTCTTCTCTCGTCCCCCCACCAGCCAGAGGGGGTTAAGCACCTCGGTGGAGATCTTGCGTGGGGGATGGTTGCGCATGCGCACCCTCACTGGCGACTGCACCTCATCCGAGGACGTGGCTGAAGCCTGGTCACTCTCCCCATCAGACCCCATCTTCAAGTCCTCATGTACAATCTCTGGTAGTGAGGACAGGGGGAGGAGGGCAGACCAGTTGAGGTCCAGAGCCCCAGGAACCCCCTCCCCTGCGGAACACACTGCTTCATCACACATGTACACACAAGCCCCCCCAAGCCGCCTGGAGTCCCTCAGGCGAGGGTGGCAAGGCCCAGGGAGGTTCAGACAGGTCGCGGTGGGCTGAGTAGGGGTGGAGGGGCAATAGTCACCTAGTGGAGCACCCCCATTCCATGGGTGAGCTGAGACTGGTGCTGGCCCAGGCCAGGAGGCAGGCAGTGGCCGAGTAGCCAAAGGCCCTGGGAAGGCAGGCGCAGGGCAGGAAGGCACCCGTAGGCCTGAGGGGGCCACAGCGGAGTGCAGGGGAAGGGCAAAGGGAAGGCTGGGGCAGCTGCAGCAGGCAGGGCACTCTTCCTCCCCCTGAGGCCTGGCACAAAGCCAAGGAGAGGGACACAGATGGACAGACAGAGGGTGCTGAGAGGATGGCAGGGAGGGGGAGAAAACAGAGAAAGGAAAATGGAAATAATACAAGTCTAAGGGGAACTAGGCTGGGAGGCAGCTTCTGGGGACCAGTGCCGGGGGCAGGAGTGATCAGTGGACCTACCTGGTGCAGAGCTGAGGGGGCCCCGTCCGGAGCGAGGTTCCGCAGGAGCGGCACGAGTGGGTACCTCTCCAAGGTCACTGCCACCGCCACCCCCACTCTCATCCAGGCCTATCTGTTCAGGGGCACCATTGGTCTTGTCCACACCTCGGCCCCCTCGGAGTGTCATCGACAGCTGCCGCTTGATCTTCTTCATCCGATCCATGGCGACCTGAGCAGGAGGGATAGATGGGAATGGGTCCCACGTTAGCGCTTGCCTGACCATCATGGGCCCCCTAAAGCCCAAGATAACTTAGTGAGGTACACTGACATGAACCTATGTCAGTGCCCACCCAACCCCTGTGGAGGCCTTGAAACACTTGGGATTCCCAGAAACCTGGCACAGATGGGGACCCTTGTCAGTGCCCACCCACCTAGAGCCAGCCCCTGGGAACCCCGCTCCTGAGTAGTGCACCTGGGTGTTGAGGCCTGGGTGGCTGGCTGAGGGCAAGGGCCCAACTGGTGGACTGTTGGCCTCTATGGGGGCAGCCTCACTGTGGGAACAAAGGCCTCCACAGCAGGCATTCTCAGGTGCGGTGGCAGTGATGGGCCCAGCTGTGGGTGGGGCAATGTGCTCTCCCAGGACTGAGGGGCCACCAATACGGCCCTGGACTCGCCCATAGAATGGCATGTTCCACCGGCACCAGCCCCACATTGCCCCCCAACTGCCAAGGCAGAATGTTCCCCACAACCATAAGGACCCGCCCGCCTTCCCCAGCAACCATTGTCAAGGTGACTAAGTGGACTACCCTACTGGTCTACTCAAGTGAGGGGTGTACGGAGAGGGGAGTCCTGCCCAGACCCAACCACTGGGCAGGTTGTGGGGGGTGCTGAATCTCAACAGACGCCAGCTGTCCTGAGGGCGCCTAGGAAGTTTCAACCAAGTTGGGACCCTATGGGTCCCACTCAAGATTTTTATAAGCCAGGCCTTATAAAAATTTTTTCTACTTGAGAGTGCACATCTCCCTTATCACCCCAAATAAATGTCCCAGTCCTCAAGGGTGGCCCACAAGGTCTTATCCTATTCACCCCATTAGCTTCCTGACCTCACCTACCCCCCACAACTATTGCCAGTTGCTGTTCTGCAACCACAACCAGCAGTCCCACCTCAGGGCCTTTGCACTGGCTGCTCCTGGTGCGTGGAATACCCTTCCCCCAGATTTCAAAATAGCTCACTCCCTCACCCTCTTTGGACCCTTGCTCAAATACCACCTTTTTCATGGATAATCCTCCACAAATAACCCTACTTAAAATTTCAACCATACTGAGCTCCCCCTTACTTTGCCAAATTATCCCCCCAGCACTTATCACCTCCTCAAAAATTATATCACCTACTTATTGGTTTCTATATTCTTAACTGTCTGTCTCCTCACCGCCATAACTAGAAGATCAGCTCCGCCAGGGTAGATTTCTGTCTGTTTAGGTCACGGCTATATCCTGAGGACCTGGAACAGTGACTGACACAAAGTAGACGCTCAAAAAGTGCTTACGGCAGAAATTAATGAATCAGGGGGCTGAGGGCCTAAGACCAATCCCCACCCGGATGGGCAGGGTAGGTCTGCTACTTGTGAACAACTCCAGAAAATGTGGCCCAGGGACACTGGCATCGCGGGAAGATGACCTAGATGGGGCCGCTGGAGGGAATAGGGCCACCAAAAGGCTGAGGCTGGCCTTCTTCTGCTTCCTCCTGGGCTCCAGGCCAGCAAGGTGGGGGAAAGACCTGGCCTAGGAACCATCTGGACTCACAGCGGGCCTAAGATGGCCCTGGGCCCAAGGGAAGTAGAGCTAGAGAGGAGGTGGGAGGATGAGGTGGGACTGGATTTGAGGAGAGAAGTGGGTCATCTGTTACCTTGAAATCAGGCGCTTACCCCACTGGTCCCTACACCCTGCTTCTGCCTGCCTGGCCTCACCACCCCCAGGAGGAGCAGAGGTGCCAGCCTAGCAGAGAGACCCCAGTAAAGAGGATGAGGTCCATTCAGAGAACCCAGGAGAACCACAAAAATCCTGACCCAGTAGAGGCCGAACACTGGACCTGAAGCTGAAGAAGGAGAAGCATGGCCAGCCCCAAAGGCAGTCTTGCATCCATGGTACAAATACTCAGTCGGCTTTGCCTGTAGTGGCAGGGAATGGGGCATCTGGGGGGACGGTAAGTAGGGCTGGATGGAAGATGAGGAGGGAGCCAGAAGGAGCCAGGGTCCATGACCTCTAACTGGAAACTCCAAGAGCTGAACATGTTCCAGAGTTCAGTTTTGGGGGGATTTTAGGAAGACAGGATACAAAATCTGTGTATCACGCAACATTCCCAGCAGGGGTGCCCTGGGCAGACCTTTGTGAACAGAGACACTTGAACATTAATATACAATAAAACTTTTAAATATTATTATTTCCATTTTCTGAGCTTTTTAAGAGTTCAGAATAGTAAAGGAAGGAACAAGAAACTGGATACACAACTCCACTCAGAAAAAGGGCATATGTCCTTCCTGACCCTCCGAGGACATACACCCATCCTCAGAATACTCTCACACCCAAAGGCACTCATCACCTCACACCACACTGTCCACTGAAGACAGTCATCATACTCTAGTCATCACGGTCACCACACAACTCGCACCGAGAACACGACATCCTCATCCTGTCCAAACCCCTATAAGCACAAACTGGCCCCTCAAGAAGGCCTCCCTACATTTTAACAGCACCTGCAATTTCCCCATTTATTTCTAACTCCCATCAGCACAGGAAGCCCCAACAGAGCAGAGAACTGTTTGTATAGGCTCGGGCTCCTCTAAGTTAACTCTCACCGCCACATTCTTGGGTGCCTCCTAGGCCAAGTTGCCCGTTAGCTTCTCCAAAGCACCCCCATTAACACACTGTTCCCTGTGCATGATTCTGACCCCTATTAACATGCACTTGGGACCCTCTACAGCTGACCCAAATTAGCACTCACTGGACCTTCACACTGCCCTGAATCTCATTAACATGAAGTGAAACTTGCCAGTCCCTGACCTGTTTTGCCCACTCAGACCCTCCACGGCTGTAACTATCAGTAAACCCATATTCTGGTCCTCTCACTATCCTGTCCCCACCACCCCCCATCAGCACAAGCTGGACCTTCACTTCACCCTGACCTCTATTAGCACACACTGGGCCTCACACAGTGCCTCCCCATTAGCACACCCTGAACCCTTCACTCAGCCCCATTCCCCAGGGACATACCAACACAGTGTTCTATAATGGCCTGACCCTCATTAGCGCACCCAGGTCTTCATTCTGCCTGGAGCACCATTAGCACACACTTCAGCCCCTCCAGGGTTCTGAATCCACTTTATCACACCTAGACCTTCACATATTCCTGTCCTTTATTTCTCTTTGCTTCAAATCTTTAACACCTATAATGCCTGTTGGTTCACACCTGAACCCCTTCACAACCCTGATTCTCCTTACCGCATCCCCTGGAACCTCAACACACCGCAGCCCCCCATGGACAAAAGCACACTGTCTTCACAACGTTCTGACGCTCACTAGCATTTTCCAGACCCGATACGGCTCTGACTCTTCCCCCAATGGCACACATTTAAGAACCTCCAAGGCTGGTCACTAGATTTTCATATGTAACTGTCCCTTATCGCATCCTGGAGTCTCACATCCCATCCTCATGGATGGTTGGGGATGAACGGACACGGACGGACGGATGGACAGACACACACACACACACACACACACACCATCTTGATCCTTAGTATACTGGACCTCTTACAGTGCTAAGACATTTCCCTCACCACCGTGCCCTCCCACCCCACATATATCCGTAACTTCTGGTACCCAGTAGCACAGGCTCAGGTCTTCCACCACTCTGTCCCGGTTAGCATATCCTGGGCCTCATACTACCCAGACCTTTATTAACACACGCATGTACCCTTTACAGCTATGACCCCCATTAGCACACACTCAACACTCGAGTTCTTCCACTACCCTGACCTCCATGAGCACTCTCTGGACCCCAGCACGCTGCAGTCCCTCACGGACGAATACACAGTATTGACACCATCCTGATGCTCAGTAACACACACAGGACTTCAGAGCCCTGATCCTATTAGCATCCCTTCTATCTCTACCACCTTAACCCCCATTAACACACACGGGGGTCTCTCCACACCTATAACCCTGTTTGCATACCTCAGCATTCCTAACATGCTCTCCCCCTATCACACACTGTCGGGGCCCTTCACTGCCCCCCCCCCATTAGCACACGCAGGGCCTCAAGCCCTACACAGCGGTTAAGACTTATTACCACACGCTCCGACCCCTCCACAGCTCAGGCCATTAGCAAAGCTCGAGTCTTTCACCACCCACTTCCACATCCTCTAGTCCTCTGATCACCCTGCTCCCCAGTAGCACCCACAGGACTGCCCATCCCCAGTTCCCAGACCGGGCCCAGGGCGGGGCCAAGGTCAGGGAGGCCCCGAATGACCCCCCGCCCCGGCGCACTCTGGGAAATTCGCTGGGGGAGGGGGCACATGCCAGGGGTGCAGCCCAGACCCCTGGGCACCGCCCGGGGTCTGGGTTGGTTCTGCAAGAAGAAGGGCAGCCCCCACCCCACGTCTCGGGGACGCGCTCACCGGCGGGGGCGCGCGAGCAACCTCAGCGCCGCGGGGCCGGCGCGGCGGCGCCTGGGGCGGCGGCCCGGGTTGAGGCCGCGCGACCTCCTTCTCCTCCTGTTCGCCGCAGGCGCCCGTCCCAGTAGTCTTCGGCCATGGCTGCTGGGCCCGGGCCGCCGCCGGCTGAGGAGGAGGAGGCGGCGGCGGCGGCGGCGGTTGAGGCGGAGGCGGCGTCCCGCTCAGCCGGCCATGAGCTTGGCCGCTGCGGGCGATGCCCCCGGGCTCGCTGGCGCCCGCTCGAACCCGAGAGCTCACGGCGGCTCGCGGCTCAGAGCCGACTGCTTGCGGAGACGCGGCAGATCCCAGGGCCGAACACCCAACGGCCCAACCGCCGCGCGCGCCGCGCTCCGCGCATGCGCACGCACGCGCTGAAAAGGCTGAAGTGGGAAGGAGGGGACTCACCTCGGACTGCATGTACCAAAAGACCCGTCCGCAGCCGGAGGGGGCCCGGCCATTGCGCGCCCACCGGGGAATGTGGCGCCAGCCCTGGAACGGCGCCAGGGGGAAGTGTAGAGGTTGCTTAGTACTCAGTTCCGATCTTGCTAGAAGTTTACTAGTGCCAAGGTGGGCAGCAGCCGGTAACCAGCGTTCCGGTCACCACTCGGTCCCCCTACTTGGTCTCACTTGGTACATCCCCATGGTGGCAAACGGGACTTTGGCAAGGAGGAAAAAGACAGATGAGGCAGTCAGTCTGAGTCCCTTGAGGTGCCTCGGAAGGCAGGAATTTCAAAGGTTCGCGAGAAGATGACTTTTCTAGGAGAGGCGGCCTGGAGAATCATTGGCCTTTACCACCTTAGATAGGACAGAGTCTAGCCCCGCCCAGCACCCCCCCACCTCCTCTAGCTCATTCCCACTGTGAACGTGTGCGGCCCCGCCCTTTGAGGTTGTCGTCCAGCCAATCGGATTTGCCCCCTGGGGTGAGGCAGAGCAAGAATGAAGGGCGTGGCTGAGCTGAAGAGGCGTGATTTCACTGCTCCGTGCCACGCCTCTGCCAGGTTTTCATTGGCTTTCAGCGCCAGGGGCGGACACTTCTTTTTGTTCGGAGCGCCTCTCTCGCCACAGGCCGAATATTCTGCAAGATGATTGGTCAAAAGAGCGTTCAATCGTCTTTCGCCCCTCCTCTAACCCCTCCCTTCCCCCCCCCCCGAGCAAGACGCACGGGGTGGAGCCTAGGCTGAGAAAAGAGGGAAGGCGGACCTTTAGAGAGGAAAGTGCGTTACTGCGCATGCCTGGGGCTTTGGGGCGGGAGGAGACCTCTTTTCCACCTCACGCGAGTATTTGCGTATGCACCCTGAATTGGGTTTCTTGCCTGCCAGCTCTCAGTTACCTCTTGTCTGCCAGAACCCCGCCCGTGGCTCTCCCCAGGTCTGCGGTTTTCTGTTTTATTTATTGAGCGCCTGTTGTGTGTCAAGCACTAGCACTGCCAGCACACCTTAAGCCCTCACTCCTCTATGCCTGGAAAACTCCTACACTGTCAACAAGCCTGGCTCAAATGGCGGCAGCTTTTGGCGGGCCTTCTGGGACATCCTTACACTGCACCCCACTCCAAAGCCAGCTTCCCCGCCTCTTCTGGGCTTCTTTTTATGGCAGCCTTGATCACACTGGTTAGAGTATTCTAGTTAAGGTTCATACTAGCGAGGGTTATCAGAGCATGATGGGAGTGGAAATACTTGACAAAGACAGAAGTCCCGCCGTGGGCTAGACCATCAGATCCATTACTTCTTTGACCTCATTTTCATTTCCTACCCTTCTTCCTCTCACTCATTTCCTCTCACTCCGCTCCAGACGCATTTGTTCCCTTCAAACTTTTTGAATAAAGCAGGCACAATCCAGCCTCAGGGACTTTGCACTTGCTGTTCCCTTTGCCAGGAATATTCTTCTAGATACTCACATGCCTCATCCCTCACTTCTTCCAAGACCTTGCTTTAATGTCACCTTCATGAAGCCTTCCCCGAATACCCTATTTAAAAATGTCTACCTGCATCCCATTCGAGATCCCCCAGACCTGGCCCTACAAACCTTCTGAATGACACTTGTCAACTTCTTACAATTTACTTGTGTTTGTTCTGGGTCTCACCCTAGCAGAACATGAGGCACCCCAAGCCCCCCACACACACCCACGCGCACCCCTCAAGGCAGGGATTTTTTTTTTATCCATTGCTGTCTCCAATGCCTAGAATAGTGCCTGTCCCATGGTAAGCACTCAACAAATATTGGGGCAAATGTTCGATGGCAAATAGCTCTAGGTCAAGACAAGAGACAACTGTTAACACCCTTCCCTTTGTGCCTGCCTGGTGCAGGGGGCTCAGTGAAGTGACCCAAACCCTGCCCACTGAACTCCGGTCTTCTATCTTGTTGGTGTTACAATGGTAGCCAAACAGGACAGAAAATGGCACACGGGGGGAGTACTGAGATATAACCAGGATTCAGGGGTTCCTGCTGAAGCTTTTCTTGATAAAGAAGCGTTTCAGGTACAAATGAGAGAGGAAGGTGATCCAGGAGTTCGGCAGCGAACAAAGGCACAGAAGTGTCTGGAGAATCACGAGTTATAATGGGGGGAGATAGTGGACAAGGAGCTGGGATAGTATCGAAAGGGGACAGAAGTTTGTGTTCAAGTGTCAGATGGTAGCGGCAATGGACCAAGGTGTGGAGTGTTTGGGGAACTCTTAAATGGCAATGGAGAAAGTATCTCTGGCAGGAAAACCTCTCCACTTGACCTAAACAGTTAGCATCACCACTTAATAGATGCCAGAGGTAAAGCACTTCAGTCTCCAACATCCTAGAGGGGAATAAAAAGGAAGTATGGAAGGAAGAGGTTACCTAAGCAGAAGAGGCCAGGGAAAAAATAATCACGAGAGGGAGGCAGACAGGGGCATAGACTGTGCCTGGGGTCTGGAGATGGCCTGGGAGGCGGCAGATGTGGGGGCAGGCTGTGAGCAGTGTCAGGCCAGGTTCAGGGATAGGTTGTGCTACTCCCAGTACCTAGGTATGAATGAAGGAATGAGGGGTCTGTTTTCAAGTGGGAGAAAGAAGTTGGGCTTCTGGCTGGGTGAGGGAGAGGTATGAGTGGCATCCCCAGGCACCAGGTGGCCAGTCTCATTGGTGCTTTCAACTATCTGGAGCCCTCAGTCAAGACCAAGGACTAGCAATGGGCAGCTCTGCAGTCCTGAGGGCAGGGGCGGGGTGGGAGCGGCACTGTGGTGAGCCTGCTCCAGCCAATCAACAACCCACAGCTGGCTCTCTTCTCAAAGGTAGGAGGCCTAGGGACAAGCAGACCAGACCTGAGGAGGGAGCAGGGTGGAGTGGGAAAGGGGCTTTTCCTCCACAGATGTTCTCAGCCAAATATTTTCATTAAAAACTGCAAAGTCTGCATAGTCATGGACATTCCTCAGTCCAAAGAGTTGTTCAGGCCCCCTGCAGCTGGGAAGCTGAACAAGGGCTCCATAGGCATTCCTGGTGCTGGGAACCAGGATGGTGAAGACTTGTCCAAGGGCTCAGTGCTTTAAGCCAGATGGGAAGGGATCTGTCTCTCCAGGGACATAAGCCATGCTGACCAAGCCCTGGTTGACGGGTCACAGGTGACTTTCTTCTTCACGGAAAGAACAAGGTTAGAGAAGTTACAGGGTTTGCTCAAACACGACTCTCTACTACCTCTCAAAAATCAACATGGCAGGGAGTTAGAAGCTGGAGCTGGACAAGGTGGAATTTGAATCCAGCTCAAATATAGTCACGAGGACCCAGGTACCTGTGCTCTATGCCTCCATCTCTTCCCAAGTGGGGAGGATGGGAGGAAGAAGTGGCAATTCCCACATTTTCTCTGCCCAGGCAACTGGCAGCTGGGGTGGGGCTGAGCCCTGTGGGTTACCACCTGAACAGGACCGCTCCAGAAGTCCCTTCCTTTCCTGGAAGCAGCAAGGCATGCCCCATCTGGGTTAATAATTCTTTATTAGGATTCAGGTTCCAAACAAGGTAGAAAGCAGCGGCATGAGGGGTGCAGGGAGGGGAATGAGGAGGGAACACCAGGCGTGGCTAGCTGGGCCACTGCCAGAGGCCCGATGGGAGCCCTGGGCTGGGAGTGGGGAGGGGAGCTGGGGCCAGCCTACGGGCGTGGACAGGGGTCAGCGGATGGTGTATCGTACATAGGGGACCTCGACGTCCTCGCCGCTCTCGTCGTTGCAGCACAGCTCAAGCACCAGCGCCCGCACATGGCGGCCCAGCTTTCGCTTCGACACACGGCTTACGATCTCTGTCATCCTGAGGGGCAAGGGAGCAGAGGGTCAGGGAGGCAAAAAGCGAGGGAGGAGGGTGGGGAGGCGGGGGCAGAGGTGAAGGGCAGTGAACTGGGGTGGAACAGCTGCAAGTGGAACCGCCCCCGCTAACTCACGGCTGATCCAACCGTTCCTTGAGCTTGGCGGCTGGCATGAAGAAGGAGTAGAGCATGGACACACCCTGGGACAGCATGGTGATCTCCAATTTATGCTCTGTCTGGAGCAGGGAGAAGGGAGACAGCAGTGTCATGGGAGCAGACAGCCCAGCAAGCCTGGCCTGCACACTCTGCCTGCAGGTGGGATGAGAGTGAGGGAGGGGCCTCACCTTAAAGTAGTCCAGGAACTGTTTGAGCGTCATCTCCTCACCGTTAGGCTGCAGCCCCTGAACCTCAAAGCGATCCCACAACGTCCACTCCTGGTTATAGTACTGCGGGACAAGGACTGGGCTGATGGGCTGCAGGCCACCACAGGGTCTGGCCCCGTCAGTCCTGTCCTCGCCGTCCCCCCACCCCCCCCAACCCCCCATCGCTCAGGCTAACATGCTTAGTCAGACTGCAAGCCTCCTTTGTCAAAAACATGTGGCTTCTGTCGCACCCTGAGCGCTGATGCCCTTTGGTGACCGATGACCAACATGGCCTAGTCACTGGGAGGCTGCTCTGTTCTCATCTCCTACCTCCCATCCTCTCTCTCACTCTGCTCGAACAAGTTATTCTTCCTCAAACATGCCAGGCATGCTCCTACCTTGGGACCCCTGGAAAGACTCATCCCTCTGCCTGGAATGCACTCCCTCCAGGAGCCTGTGTGGTCTGCCTCCTCCCCTTCTCCAAATCTGGGCTCACAGATCGTCTTTTCAGCAGGGCCTTTCCTGACCATCCCACGTTTATAAGGCCCCAACCCATCCCCTTGCCACCTGGTACTCAAGTCCTCCTTACCGTGGTCTTTTTTGGAGGTTCTAAGATCATTTATCGTGTTATTTATAGAATCTAGTGCACAAATGAACAATCCTAGCACCTACAAGAATACCTGGCACATAGGTGCTCAGTAAATATTTGAAATGAATTAACAAATGAAGCAAGTGAAAGTATTTACCATAATAAGCACCCAATAAATGTCAGTTGCTATCATTATGTTACTAATAATCTCTTAGGGTACAATTAGAAGATACCATCTTTTCTAAGGGCTTCCACAGGCAAATTCAGTGCTTAGCACAGAATAGGTTAAATGAATAAACGAATAATGTGTGCACAAAGGGAATAGGTGCACACTCATAGAAACCCTCACCTGGTGACAGGCTATGAAAGCAAACCAAAGCCAGAGCTCTACAGAGAAACATCGCGCTCACAAACCCACCAACCTCAACACAGGCCCTCACCTGGTGACGGGGTGCCGCAAGGGGTTCGGAGAAGGCAAAAAAGGGCAGGGCCAAGTTGAGGAAACCATTCTTGTAGGAGTCAAGCTGTCGGTGCCCGTGCACCACTTTATACAACTCCAGACACACAAGGCCAACCACAGCTGCTGTGGTCGTGGCAATGGCTGGGATGATCTTCCCTGCAATCAGCTTGCTCTGTGAGGCAGGAAGGATCAAGACACGTGATAGTTAAGGTAGAAGAGGCTCAGAGCCTACAAAGAACGAATGGAACGTGGAGAACTCAAGCCTCGGGGAGGGGTGCAGTGTGAGGTTGGGTGTGGGTGTGGAATGAGGTCCAGACTCCCCTCACCTTGTGCCGGTCCGCAGGGGGAATGTCATAGTTCTCTGCCCGGAGGTTGGATGCCGCCACAATGAAATCCATATGGAAATTGCTGTCATCATCCTTTTATGAGTGGGGGAGGGAGAAGGGGAAGGGCGGGGAGATGGCAAGAGGATCAGTGTCGGAGGAGGAAAAGGATTCCTGGCCCCTGGGGACACAAGTATCCTTCACTACAGTTACCTGCTGGTTCTCTGAGATCACAAAGGCAAGGCTGGGAATGTCTATACGTTCAGGGCCATGTGGCAGGCCCATGATGCAATCCCGGTAGAGGCCTGGGGCTGCCTCCAGATCCCCACAAACCCGTTCTGTCTGGGCCATCCCCCTACCCACCCAGGGCCCCCATCTAGTACCTTCTCAAAGTCGATGGGATACATCTTGAATCCAGGGAGCTTTTCTGGACTGGGCAGTGTGGCCTTGAGCTCCTCGAGACGGCTGTCATCTGCAGGAAGAAAGGGACACCATTGACCCTTCAGATCCCAGGCCAGTGTCTGAGGTGGAAACAGGAGCTGGGGTGGGGGCAGGGTCTGGGAGGGCAAAAGATGTTCAGGTAGAGAAGACCTGAAAAAGAAAGCTACCCTGGGAGAGAGGAGGCGCAAGGCAGAGAGGTAGAGCAGGACAAGAGAGCACAAACCTGAAGGAGACAGAATGGGGGCAGGTATATGGAGAGAGAGAGCTCTCCAGAGACACTAAGGAAGACATCAGGAGGAAGTGGACATGGACAGATCCAGATGGGAGAGCTGTAGATCTTGGGGAGAATGTTATAGAAAGAGATGGGGAGACATGGAAAATATGGCTGGAGGGGGCGACAGGGGTATGAAAAAAATATACAGAGAGGATACTGGGGGGAACACACAGACGCAGTTAGAGGAAAGATATGGGGAAGGGAAAAAAGGAAGAGAGGAGAATGGGGCACAAGACATGTAGATGTATTTCATACACATTTTATATATCATTTATACACGTTTCACACATACCTTACGTACATTACACAGATCTCACATATGGTTAGGCAGCTATATGCATGTATATACATATGTATGCAAGGAGAAAAATGGAGGAAATAAAAGGATGAAGTGAAGAAAAACGTGGAAGGAAAGATGGGAAGAAACATACGGAGAGGAACATGAGGGGGTAGAGACTTGGGAAGGGAGATGGGGAGATAACAGGAGAAGGGAGAAGATCGATGGAGAGGAAATGGGGAGCATAGAAGGTAAATGCAAGGGGAGCCACAGAGCTGCAGATGCGGTATCCAGGCCATGGACAGGGAGAGGTAGGTAGGACAAGACGGATCAAATCCACAGGCTGGGGGTCAGCAAACTATGGCCCTGAGCCAAAATCGGCCCACCACCTGCTCGATCAATAAAATTTTTCTGGAAAACAGCCACACACGCTCATTTACACATTGTATATGGCTGCTTTTGTACTTCAACCGTGACAGGTGATTGACAGCAGACACTCTATGGCCTGAAAAGCCTGAGGGTCACTATTTGGGCCCTCACCTAATATGCAGCATGAGCTAGAAAAAAGAGATGGAGAGAGATGGGAAGTTGACGAGGAGAGACGTGCAGAGGGAGATGGGTAGGGAATGCCAAGGAAAGAGAACATGGAGGGCAGTATTAGGGTGAAGAGGTGTACAGAGGCACACAGGGGCCAGATATCAAGGGAGAGAGACCACTGGTGGAGATCACAGCTCCCAGAGAAACATAAACAAAAGAAACAGAGAGAAGTTCTTTTTTGCAAGGCAAATACACACAGAAGACCAAAGAGTGGGGGAGAGGAGTGAGGGAGACAATTTGTCCCAACCGACCGACCTTCTCCACACTTTGGAAGAAGGGAGGCTCAAAGGAAGGTGTGGGGAAGTCTCGGGCCTGGGGTGGCAGAGCAGAGCCAGGGGCAGAGAACTGGTGGGGAAGCTGGCCTGGGCAGCCGACTGGCCAAACACCCTCACCAACTGAGGCATTGGCGCTCTGCAGCTCCTGGTCAGAGACGTGGATCTTGACGCCAGACTTGGGGGTAAACTCGGGGACCTGCACAGACCGTAGGAGTGTGGCCACAGCAGCTCGGTCCTGAGAGCCTGTCAGCCCATAGGTCTGGGCAAACAGGTTGGCGGCAGCCATCACGTAGTCCAGATGCAGGGGCTGGGGGAAGGCAGGGCCCAGAAGGGTGAGGACATCGGCTCTCTCCTGACGCGTCTCGGCCTCCTTCCCTCTCACCCACCCTCCACCTGACCCAAAGACACCCCAGGGAAGAGACTTACATTGTTGACATCAAAGGTGAGTGGGTGTGGACAGCGTTTGGGCCCAGACCAGAATGGAGCTCCCGAGCTTGTGAGCTGAAGGAAAAAAGCAAAGAGATTTCTGAGGGGCAGGACTTGAGAGCAGAGGCCCCTCTAACAAGCCGAACTCCTAGCTGGGTACATGCAGGGCCCTGGAGTCAGTCATGAAAGACCCAGACTGTAGGGTCCTGTAGATGGAGGTTCCGACGCCAGGCTGAACCAGGGGCCTTGCTGAGCAGACAACTACCAATTCCTGGGCACATGCAGCCACCTCACAAACTCTTACGGACTGCCAGGCACTGTACTAACTTAGTATCAGTAAGTACCAATAAATCCTCAAAAAACCCCGTGAGGTAGACTGCTATTCCGTCTACTTTGCATGTGGGAAGACCAAGGTGCAGAGGAAGCTATGTGACTTGCCCCAGTGCAAATGGAGCCGGGAGGCGAACCCATGCACATTCCTGTGCCCACGACTACCGAATGACTACCAAATTTCTCCTCTGTAATCAGTATGGCCCTGGGGGTTGAGCTGGACTCAGAGCACGCCACAGGCAAAGGAAACAGGGACACAAGTCTCTTGCTTGAAGGCAAGGCAACGGGAAAAACAAGTCAGACTTAATCCATCTGCGGAGAGCCCTAGGCGCTGAGGTACCTGAGGTACCTGCTGCAGCCGGCCTCCTGACTGCGAAGAGCATGGGGAGAGACCGCAGCAGGTTCCTGTCGGGAAAAGGCCTCACGCCCAACGGGGCCGGCAGGCGGGCATTACCTGGTCGGGAGGGAAGTTGTGCAGCAGCTGCCGGATGTTGTTGGAGTACTGGGTGTGCCAGTGGTGGCAGGCCCAGCTCACGCAGTCGGCCCAGGTCTGTGGCCGCTGCAGCACTAGACTGCGCTGTACGGCCTCTAGCACCTCCAGGGGTTGGGTGCCTGCCAGCCGCAGGGTCCGCTCCACAAACTTGGGGTCTCTATTGGGAATTGGAGGAGGTCAGAGGGGCAGGATTACACCTCGGCCCTAGCAGTGGGCTCCAGCACCACTCTACTTCCTCCACGGAAAGCTAGCCCTGACCCCCAGCGGTACGAGACCCCGAGCCTTCCCCAATTCATCTGCCAAGTAAGCGGGCCTGGGGCCGGGCATCACCGGTGAGGTAAGCAGGCAGGACGCCTTGGCGGGCAGGTAGGGGACAGGCCGAAGAGGCGCTTGGATACTTACGTGAGGTACTGGTTCACGTTTTCTGCCGGCTGCTTGAAGAGGCCTTCAAACTCATCCCGCGCCCACTGGAAGACAGAGCAGATGGACGACATGAAGTGACGGCTGACAACCGGGGACTTGTCATTAGACAGACCATCAGCAAATGCATCCAACTAGAACACCGCTGCTCGGAGAACAGGGAAGCCCTCTGCCACTGCTCCCCAACCTTCCCCACTCCCCCACCCTCCGGCACCTCAATTTAAAAACCAATAACTTGATCTGGGCAATGGTTACACTAGCGTTATGTGTGGAAAAAAAAATTATTATTTAGGATCTGTGTGTCTTACTAGAAATATATCTCGATTAAAAAAATTTAATTATATTTTACCATAACTGAAAAAAAAAATTCAGACCCCAATCAAAAACAGCTGCCACCATACAGGCTCTGGGCTGAGCAGGAAATAAGACAGATGCTCTGCACTATGCAAATTCCTAAGGACAGTAAATGCATTAATGAATGCATGTGTCTGGGTTCGATGCCCAGCTCTGCTACCTAGTATCTAGTTTGAGGACTTCAGAAACACGCAGCAACACTTACCTTTGCACCCTCCTTTCTAAAACAGATACTGTAACAGTAATAGCTACTGGGCAGAATTGAAAAAAAGAAACAAGCAACTACTAAGTTACGGAGAGTTTCCTAAACCTGCTCCAGATACATAGTAAAGACTAAGTGCTTTCCATACCAAGAGGCCGACACCACTCTCAGCCCCATTTCAGAGGAGTCAGGCACGAAGAGCTGTCTGTGTCCAGTCACACACGACCCCATGAGATCACAATGGGGACACAAATATCAACATGCCCGCTCTCGAACTCCAGGCAGAAGGCAAAGTGGCCAAGGAAACTGGTTCTTCCCTATTTGGTTCTCACCCCCACACTCCTAACCAAACATTCGGAAGTCTGTTCTCAAAGACTACCGGGTCATTCTCATAGCACAAGAGTTCTCTTCGGGTACCCCTCAGGTTCTGGTTCATGGCCCTGGTGCCAGATGCCTACGTGTGTTCACTTTGTAAAAAGTCAGCCTGATGACGGGAGCTCTGGGCTGTGCGTACACGCACCACACAAACAGGATCATCCTGAGAAACTAGCTGTTGAAGCCACTCTGAGCAATACCTGGAGGCACCTGAAGAGGAGCATTAAAGACCTAGGTAACTGCAGGAGGCAGTAAGAAACGACCATTAATTTCACTCAGCACAAAAGCAGGGTTTTGATTAGAGAGCAGCAGTCCTCACCTGGGAGCGATTCTGCCCCCACCCTGGTGAGAAGGGAGGGGGCTATCTGACAATGTCTGGAGACATTCCCAATTGCTACAACTGTACGAAAATGCTAGTGGCATCCCGTGGGTGAAAGCCAGGGATGCTGCTAAGCGCTGGCCGGTGCAGAGGACGCCACCCACCACCGACAAAGAAATATCTGGCCCCAAGTGCCAGTAATGCCAAGGTCGAGAGACCCTGTTATGCAGAGCACATGTCCCTTGCAGAAGCATATTCAATTAAGGACTGAGGTGCCATGATATCTGTGATACGTTTCAGTAGAAAAGGAAAAATACAGCAATCTAAGAAAATGTGTCAAAAACTTGAACAACTATTAAATCTGCATGAGGAATGATATTTAAGTATTCATCATACCACTCTCTGTATATCTCTACATGTTGACAACTTCTCAAAATAAAAGAAAATGAATGTATCACTCTAGAGACCCAGGCTGCTGGATGGGAAGTGAGGGAGGAAGATTTCAAGAGAAAGCACATCTTGAGCTTTAGGCTGGTGACACCTGAGGGGGCCTAGCGGCCAAGAAAGAGCCTGCTTCCTCCCCTCTCCCCCCACAGCTGATCACCTGCAGGGTGTGCTCAATGGCGTTGGGGAAGTTCTTCAGGGTGCAGATGGGGATGGACTTCTCAGGCGGATCCTGGCTAGAGCTGTAGGACTCTGTCAGGAAGGGGATCACCACCTGCACGTTGCCCTTGGTGCCCAGTGTGCCAGACTCCAGTAGCGGCTTACGGTAGTACACACAGCGGCGGTCCATGTACATGCCTACGGGGAGGGGTGGGGGATGGGAGACCGTGTGTGTGTGTGTGTGTGTGTGTGTGTGTAAAAAAAAGTCAATAGAGGATAGGAAAACAAGACAGCGGATACACATACACACGCACGCACACGCGCAGGCACATACCACCTCTGCCCCGACCTCCTCGCCCGCCTCCAAACTCACGGGCATCCACATTGTCGAGGGCATTGGCCACACCATCCAGGTTTTGGAAGAAATCGTCGTCATAGATGCGCTCCGTGTCAGGGCCCACACGGTTCTGGTGGCTTGTCACCCGAATGTGTGGATTCATCTGACGCACAGCTGCAGCAGCCGTGTCAGACTTTAACTTCTAGGGGGACAAGGCCGGGATGGGAACATGGGGCTCAGTTATTCGTGTATTCACCCAACAAACCTGTTTACAACCGTCCTCCTAAACATGGACTTAGTTTAGGAAGAACTAGGGCTCTGAGTTCAGAAGGCTCCTTGATTTAGGAGACAGTCGCCGACAGCGCCACATGGCCAACGCTGTGACAGAGGTGGCAGGGGCTCAGTGGAAAGGGAAGCAGTGAACAAATGCAGATCCGAGGCAAGAGGCCAGCCACTCGTTTCTATGCCTACCCAACATGTACTGTTCTTTCAGATAACAGAACTCAGAGGTGGAATCCATCCTCTCAAACAAAACAGGATCCTCCCAAAGCCCAGGTCAGGTCACATCCCTTCTCTGCTCAAAACCCTCCCCTAGCTCCCCACCCCCTCCACAGAGGGGAAAAGGAGTTGGCCCCCATTTCCCCTAGCTCACCTCCTATCCCTCTCCCCACCATCAGGATCCTGGCCTGGAGTGCTCTGGGGGGTGGGGGGTGCTCTACACCCTTCCACCCTCCAGGCCTGCAGAACTGAGCCCTTCCCTAACCCCTACCATCAAACCTGCCAACCCATCCTCCGGGCGTGTCCGACCTCCCTTTGCTTGGGCACTTATCAACGTTAAACCCCAAACCTCACCCTTACACTGTGTTGATTGCTTCTGGTCTGCCCTCGCTCCCTTAGAACCTTTATTTCCTTGCTGTATCCCAGGTGCCGAGCACAGTGCCTAATGTAGGCCAATGGCTACCTAGTGACAAAGTCTATGAACGTAAAGGAGAAAAGATACTGGGCAGGCACACATGGCACTGTCCGCTATGGAAGGCTTCGCAGCTCGAGCTGTGTACAGCCTAGGGTCCATGTGGCAGGGAAGAGTGAACCTAGCACAAGTGTTCTCCTAGGGAAGGCCTGTTGGCAAGGCTGGCCCTTGGCTGGCATCTGGGAACCTGGATTTGGAGAGGGTTTTCCCCATGCCTTACCTGATAAGGGTGGCTCACTGTGCCTAGACTGCTTATGCTAAGTGTGGTTTCTGCTGAACTCCTGATTTCCTTCTGGGAGGTTGGAATTTAGGTATGTACATATACCCCACAGTACAAGCCCTGGGGACTGAGTCGTTAATGAGCGTCCCTGGTTGGCAACATTTCACACGTGTTGTCACAACTCGCTACTAGGGGAGTTAAGTGCATCCTGTACGACTCCACTAGGAGAGGAGTCTCGGAAGCCTGTGCCTGGTCTCCCCCAGACTTTGCCCAGGGTGCCTTTTCCCTTTGCTGATTTTGCTCTGCATACTTCTGCTGGAAGAAATCATAGCCATAAATACGGCTATAAGCTGAGTCCTGAGTCCTCCTAGTCAATCATCAAACTTGGGGGTGGTCTAGGGGACCCCCAACACACTGTCCCAACCAGCACTGATAAGAGGTCAAGGAAAAAGAAAAAAAAAAAGAAAAGAGAGAGATGAAATATTGCAGAGCCAACCCAAGGATACTCAAGAAATGTTTGCTGAATGAGTGACGCAGAGAAGCTGAGAGAAAGAGTTGAAGAAAAAGGTGGAAAGGCCTCCCTCCTTTCCAGAAAAAATGGAAACAAGAGACAGGAGGAAAGCCAGAGGACAAAATCCACCCCCCCCCACCGCCACCCCACTCACCGTGACGTCCCAGGGTCGGAATAGAAACTGCCGGTTCAGATTTGACTTCTCAATAGTGTCCATGTCTGTGACGACAATTTCTCCGCCCTCCCCACAGCCCAGCCCAATCATGGCGAAGTTCTTGAGCAGCTCACAGCCAATGGCTCCTGCACCCACCTAGGAAGCAGTAGAGAAGAGAGACAGAGACTGGCTGGAGTAACACAGGTAAGTGGGATGGTACGCGTGACTCCTCACTCCCCACCACCTCTGAAGTCAGCAGGGGAGGCGAAGTGGGGCTAGTGCCACTTCCTCAAGTTCCAGAACTACAAGAAATAACCCAGAGCCATCTGAGGGAAGGCAGTGGCAAAAGGCACACAACAGAGGTACCAGAACCAGAAGACACTCCCTTGGGAGGCAGGAGACTCCAGAATAGGTAGCCAGAGGCCTGGGAGGTGCAGGTAGAGGGCATCTAAGGGGATCACTCACTAGGAAGTACTTCTGCTTGCCCAACTTCTCCTGTAGGTCGGAGCCAAACACGGCCACCTGCCCATCGTAACGGTTCTGGCGCTGAGGAGTGCAAAGGGAGGAGGGTCAGAGGGGGCCTCGCCAGAAATGCCCCCAATGGCATCTTCCTTGTGGGCCCTACTCGCATACCGGGTGGCACTTGTCCTCTGTGAGGGCCTCTTTGTCCTCAGGGAGACACTCCAGGGCATCAAAGTACAGCCATTGCATGATGGGCATAAACTTCCCAGAGCAGGCCTGGGGATTGCAGAGGAGAGAGGAAGCAGTCAGTGGTTAACTGGGGCAGATGGACAATAAGTGATGGAGTCAGAGAAGTGCCTGGCCCACACCCCCGACCCTGAGCTTCTCCACCCACACTGACCTTCATGACCTCCTGGGCAGCCAGGCCCCCAATGAAAGCGTTTACAGGCGCCAGATCCCCAGCAGCCACATAGGCCAGCTTTCGGATGAGGTCCTCATCCAGGTTGTCCTGCTGCACTGCTCGCGGGGCTCGTGTATTCACGGCCCGGGCTAAGGTCACCAGCTCTGTTGCATCCTCCTGGTGGGGCAGAAGAAACCAAGAGGGCACCTGTCAGGCCACTGTGGGAAGAGGAATGGGGAGGGGCAAAGAGGAAGGAGAGTAGACAAGCACAGTGGGCCTTCGGTGCCAAGGTCACCTGCCCTGGCTGGCCCACCCACTCACCCACCTCATTGCGGGGCCGAGGGGGCCGGCCATGCTGAGCACAGAACTGGTGTAGGGCCTGGAAGCCAATGTGCAGCTGGGCAGGTCGGGAATACTTGGCAAAGTCCGTCATCACAAAGTCAGGCTCTGCCAGTGAGGCCAGCAAGGATTTCTGTGGGGGGCAGGGCATCAGAGCCTAGAAATGCCCAGAACCACCCCCCACCCTCTACTACCCACCACACTCACAAAGCTGATCTTCTTAGGTACTTTGACCTGACTGACAATGCCTCCACGGATGTAATCAGAGAAGTTAGAGGTGTCACAGATGCTAAAGGTGTAAGGACCTATGTAGACAGGAAAAGGGTCAGGCTACCCACTCTCCCTAAAGCTCACAATACCCTTAAGATAAGGGAAAAAATCCATGGATTTTCAGGGATCCCAGTCATCAGGAGCCAAGACCCCACGCCAGGTTCTACTCAGACATCAGAAACCATCTCCACTCTGCCCAAGACCCAGGCTCTGAACCCACGAGACCCTGTGCTCTTGGATCCAAGTCTACACTAGAAGACATTCTCTGCTCCCTGTCTACATCAGCTCAGAAAAGAATGGATCCTCTGATCTGCTCTGTTCAAACGCCAGAGACCTTTTCCCCATCAGCGCAGACAACAGAGACCTAGTCTACAAACAGCTCAAACTCAAGACAGCACCTCTACCCCAGGCCCACCAGCTCTGGCTGGACCCCGAGGGGGGGGGGTGGGGGGGTAGGTCTGTCTCTGGCTCATCTCAGACACACAGCATGTGTCCATCTCCCCTCACTCTGAGCCCAGGGTCATATCCTCTCACCCAATTCCTCCACAGCCCTAGCTCACCCAAGACTTTGATCTCCATGGGCTGACTTCCGTTGAGTTCAACCATGCCCTGTACTTCTGAAAAGGAGACAAAGTCGCCATTCTCAAACCCATGTCGGGCCTCATCCAGGCAGGTGACCACACCGGGATTGTCCTGGTTAAAGGAGAAGTGAGCCTCAGAGGCAGGTTCAGAGTACCAGGAGCAGACGGAAGGCCTGCTGCTGCCCATCCACCTGCCCGGAGCCCTGAGGCTGGTCTCCTCACCTTGGTGACCATAGAAACCATAGCACTGAGAGGCTGCTCCCCATTGGAATCTGTGAGGATCATTTCCTCTCCAAAGTCACAAAAGAGCTGCCTGTAAAGGGAGGCAACAGGGCTGATGCCCCAGAGTCCCATGCTCCCGGGGACCCGCGTGTCCCTCGAGATGCAGCAAATACTTGCTGAGCAAATTCTGCTCATCACTGCTGGGAATCACACAGCGATCATGTCACGTGGGGAGAGGAGGACACACAGAATCCAAACCCCGAGTGGCTGAGGGGCAGGGCGGTGAGAGCTCAGGGGTCTCCGCCCGGGCCCAGCAGGGGTCGGGAAACCAGGGTGGGGGCACTCACCCAAATAGGCCCCGCGTGTCTGCCACCACCAGCTTGATGCCACGGTTGTGACAGAACTCACCGACCCGCAGCTGGTCCTCCAGGGGGGTGTTGGTGAGGACCACCACCTGTGGAGAGGTAGAGGCTCAGGGCGCAGGCCCGACACTGGGCCAAAGGGGAGAGAATAACGGAGGAAGGTTCGTGCCAGGGACTTGAACTATCTCCCCTGGCTCAGTAGAGACTTTCACAAAGGACCTACCGTGTAGCAGATTCAGCCAGGGTGAAACTCAGAGGAAAGAGAAAGGCCAATCCCTCCATCAGGGCAGGCAAAGCAGCCGGCTGGGTAATGAGGCAGCCAGGAGCAGAGCGTGGAGCACAGCTGACTCATTTACGCACCAACGCCCACCACAGCCTGCCTACAACCCTGCCTCGCCCGGCGAGACACAGAAGTAACCCTCCCTCAGCAGCCAAAGTCTGAGCTCACTCCTACCACACCCACTTGCCCCCAATTCTCCAGACAATGCCTGCTGAAACGCTTGCCTTGGGATTTTGCTTTCGGCCTGAGCGCCCTCCCTCCCCTGCCCTCCCCACCGGGAGGAACTCCTACAACTACCTCAGGTTCCGTGGCAGAACGCCCCAGGGCAGAATCTCAGCTCCCACAGCTCCTCTTTCTCGCTCAGAATCTTTATTTAACAAATAACCAGATGGCCCTTAACATGTGCCAGCTGCTATTCTAAGCACTTAGCCCTCACAAAAACTCTAAGAAGTAGGTATTACTATGGGTCCCAAGTCCACAAGGAAGAAAAAAACAAAACAGAGGAGATCGAATGACCTCAACTGGAGACCCGCACTAGGAAGTGTGGCTCCAGCATGTGCCGATGACCACCAGGCTCTGTGGGTCTGTGCATCCACACCCCTGGCCCCGGAGAAGGCAGGTCCAGAGTCTAAATCCCACCTGCATCCCCAACACGAGACCTGGCACGGAGGCCAGCCCATTCACCAGAGAACTAGTGAGCAAAGACAGATTCAGAGAAAACTGGGCAGGAGGCTGGGTGGTACGCCCCCAGGGTACCTGAAAGCCACTAAGGAAGTCCTCGACCAGAGGCCCGGTGTAGGCACTGACAGGCACATAGCTGTTGAGTTCAGCGAGGCGGGGCTGGGAGACCTCAGCCCTGTTTTTACCGATGTCCTCCTCCCGCAGGTAGAACTGCAAAGGGGAGCCAGAGAGGAAGGGAGTGGCGGCAGAGCCCGGGGGACTGGCACCTCCACCAGGGAGAAGGGCTGCCAAAGTAGTACCTGGGAGGAGAGGTCAGCCCACTGGGCAGTGCCCTGGTCATGCAGGGTGACAGCCTTGACCCCACCAAGGATGATGTTCTTGGCAATCTCCACGCCCAAGCCCCGTAGGCCGGACACCAGGACGCTGGAGGTCTGGAGCCGCTTCATGGCCTCATGGCCCAACACGTACCTGCCAGGTTGGGGGGCGTTCTGGGTCAAGGTCTGGCCCTCCAGACCCTGTCCTCCCAGTACCCCCTCCGCTGCTTAGTCCAACCAAGGCCCCACTTACAGCTGCCGGGAGTAAAGGCCCTCATCTATGTCTGCTTCACTGCCGTTCTTCGCCATTCCCTAGGCACAGAGGAGAGGAACAGGTTTGGGGAGGTACAGAGAAGGGTGTGGACAGATGCACTGTGATACAGAAGGCTCTCCCACCACCACTCCCACCACCCGGCCTGCCAGGGTCCAGGAAGAAGACACTTACGTTGGTTGGCACCGAGGGCACTTCGGACAACACGGAGTGGGCAGGGGAACAGTTAGAACCCGGCTTTGGATCAGGCCCGGACACGCGACGTTTCTTGGACAGCGGCGAGCTGGACATCTGGAAGGGAAAAGGAAGGTCAGAGGTGAGCTTGGGGCATGTGAGTATTGCAGTCGGTTAGTGGTGACCGTGGGGCGGGGGGAAGGGAAGACTTAAGGGCTGGTATCTCCATTTTACAGAAGAGGAGGCAGGTACAGAGAGGTGAGGTGACTTGCCCAGGGTCACACAGCTGTCAGAGCTAAGATCTGAACCCAGGTGGTCTGGCTTGCAATCCATGCTGCTGACCACTAGGCCATTCGCCTTTCTCCCCAGCCCAGCATGAGGGAGAGACTCCAGTCCTGCGGGGTGAGAGGAGTGACATGAAGAATGTCCTTGTGGGAAAGTCAGAGGAGGGTGTAGGCTCAGGTCAGACCCTGCCACTCCTTGACAGACCTCATTTAAGCATTAACCTGTGGGCTCAGTTCCCTCACCTGTGCAATAGGGCTGACAGGGCCACTTACCTACCCCACGGAGTTGCCGAAGTGATGAAAGAGAGCCCAGACCACAGAGCCTGGCACAGAGCAGGCAGGCAACCACAAGCAGCCATTCTCCTCCCCCTTAACCCCGGCGACAGGGGCACAGGAGGGAAACGCAGCTTAGACTTCCATCAGGGTGGCATGATGGCGGGAGACACCTTGCCAGAGACCCAGCCCCGGAGGGGCTCCGGGAGGAGAGTTTCCCAAAGCCCACCCCAGCCCTCCCCCCCTCCGGCCGGAAGGGAAAGGCCCAGGCCAATGAAAGAGGTCAGGGGAGAAACCAAACACACACACACACGCGCGCACGCACACACACACAGGCACGCACATCCCGAGCCCTGTCTGCACGTGGAACCCTGAAACAGGTTACCGATGATGGTGGATGAGTATTGATTAGGAATCCTCCCTGGGCCAGATGTCAGACCAAGCACATTATGAGCCGTGCTTCACTTTGTCCTCACGGCGTCTCCCTGAGATCTGGACTACTACTGTGTCATCCCCCAACTCCCACTGGAGGAAAAAAATTCACTCAGGGACACTTGGTGACTTGACTAAGGTTCCCACAAACACAGTGGCCAGGCCCTGACCAGGATCTGCGGACCCTGAAGCCTAGGCTGCCGCCTAGTGTTAGTCCCATTTCACCCCCTCAACCAGGGTTGAGCACCCTCGCCAGACAAATGAGAAAACCTGAGCTCACGAGGTCAAGTTAACCTGCCAAGCATCACACACCGGGTCTCAGAGAGAGAACAATAGAGCCTGCTGTGGCAGAGAAGTATATGTGTGTGACTGGATCCACATGGCGGAGACAAGAGGACCCACAATCGTTTCCCCTTACCACCAATGCTCTCCCAAGCCACTGTCCTCCCACACTGGGCCTTTTCTGACCCGCCCCCCTCCCCAATCACACTGAGCACACCCAGTGTACTGAAGATTCTATCTCAGCACCGGTCACCCTCTGACGCTAGGCAAGAAAACAGGAGCTCCCTATCATCTACCAAGAGCTCACTGCCTGTCAATCACAGGGTAAAAAGCTTTGTCTAATCCCAACAATGCCCACAGAACGAGATAACCTCATGCCCACATCACAAGGAAGAAAACAAAGGCTCAGGGAACTCAATCACTTGCCCACAGTCACGCAGCTGGTGTAGGCCTGTTTGCCAAATGCCTCCTGGGAGAAGAGAGTCAGGACCAAGCTCAGGACCCAGCCCATGGGGCTAAGAGATGAGGTGTGAGGGAGGAGGACCCAGAAGGCAGGAGGTTGGCTAGGGCCCTGGAGCAAACCAGCCTAAGTACTGGGAATGCAAAGCACTAACCTAGACAAGAAAAAGTTGGTGAATTAGTACGGAGGCAAATCATAATTTTTCCATTTACTGGCTTTCTGACCTGGGAAAGGGACTCATTTACTGAGCCCCATCTTTTCCAAAAGCAGGGACAAACAGAAGCATCCCCAAGGATTTGCTGGGAAGGTTAAAAAAGTCTACTTCTGTGGTCAGAACTCAGAGACTTGAAGACGTAAGTAAGCTCCTCCCTGGACACCTGCAGTGGCCTCCATTACTTTTATTTCTTTGCCTAGTCACTGGTTTGCTCATCTGGGACACACCATCTCCCTTGCTTCCTGAATCAGTGATGATCCAGGGCCAGAGAGATCTTTAATATCTGCACTTTTATCTCCGGATTCCTGTTGCTGCCAGCAAGGGTCTAAGCAGGTTTTGGGTGACTGTTCCAGAAAAGATTTCAACTGCAGAGATTTGGAACAGCCGTCTCAAGGCAAGCAGGAGGATTCTGGGGCAGTAACCCCAGAGACGAGCTAAAAATTCCCCCACCCCCAGTACAAAATCGATATCCTTTCTCCCTCAACATATGCTCAGGCCCCACTTAGGACACATATACGATCCATTGTTCAGCAAAGCCGAACTGGGGCTTACGAGAATTTCAGAACTTGCCTGAGGTCTCCAAACTGGTGATGCTGAAGCCTGAGCATTCTCTACCACCCAAACCAGAGAAGAAGGTTTGAGGTAGGAGTCTGGGAGCAGGTTTGAAAGGGGGCAGGCACAGGGTCAGGTTATCAAGATGGAAGAAGCTAAGGCACAGGATGCTGGGGCCTGTCAAGCCTCCTGGGAGGGATTAACTGAGAAGTCCCTGAGAACACAAAAGAGAGGAGTCAGGAGGTAGTTGTTTGAGCCCATGGAGACTCAGAGGGAGATGGAGAAGGGGACAGAAGTCATGGGATGCAGGCCAGGCAGGGCCAGGCCAGGTTGTTAAGACTCATACCTGAGTCTTTGGAAAGGATCTTTTAGGGAAAGGCCAGGAAATTGCACTAGAGGTCCCCTGAGGCTGCAAGGAGATAGGAGGGCAGTGGCTGGGCCCCATGGAAGCTACAGGAGGAACAGGTGGGGGATTCTGGGACCCAAGGAGGCTGCAGAAAGATGCTGGGGTCCGGGGGGAGGTGTGTTGTCCATCAGAAGGATGCTGGGGCCTTAGGGGTCTCTGCAGATGGATGCTATTGGTACAGAAAAACCTTTGACCAAAAATAACAGGGACTTGCAGGGAGAGAGGTGTCTCTGACATTGATGTCAGAGTCCCAGGAGGCTATAAGGTGAATGGTGAGTCCTAGGGTAGGGCTAGGGAGGGATTTCTAATGGAGCACAAAGGCCTTGTGTTGATCTCTGGTACATGCTAGGTACAGCAGCTGCTCTAACAGAGTGGAAATGGGAGGCTGAGCCCAGACAGTTCTAGTCCTAAAAAGTTCAGCAAGCAGATACTAGCTAGATCTCCAAGTAGGTTTGGGTTTCTCTGACCAATTGTGTGGAACCCACGGACGCTGTGAGTAGATGCTGAGAAGGAGGTTTTCTACTCTGACTGAAGACAACTGGGCCTGTTGGGGGAAGGGACATCTGACAATGATGCTGGGGTCCTACAAACCTAAAGCCCTCTAACTGATGCTAAGGACCTTGAAAGACTGAGGGCAGATTCTGAGGCCTGATTGATGTGATGTTAAGGGATCTGGGAGTGAAGGTGCAACCCTGGTTGGCCTTTGAAGGAAGTGGCTGAGTGAAGGGTGGGGTATGAGCAGAGTCTGATGGAGGGGGCTGGAAGGCAACAGGGTCTGCAAAGGCAGGTGCTGGCCAGGGGAATCTGTGATGGAACATCCTGCAGTGAGGACTGTGTGACCAGGAAGCTGCTGAGGCCCATGAGCGGTAGTCTCCAGAAAGAATACTGAAACTATGAAAAAGGGCATTCCCTTAAAGTAGAGAACGCCTCTAAAAGCAAAAGAGTCTCTAAAGGTAAACGTTGAAGAGAACCTCTGATTAGAAATGCTGGGTCCAGAGGGCTTTTTCATGGAAGATACTAGGGCCAGGTTTGAGTTGGACATGTAGAGAATAGGTCTCTGACATGGAGGCCAGGCCCAAATCCTCTTTCCACAGGGTCTAGTTTCCTTCGAGGCTCTGAGAGCAGATAATGCCTGTGTGAGTTGGGGGAGGAGGGAGAGCTATCTGAAGGAAGCTGCTAGATTAGACTTATAGAAATGAAGGCCCTCCCCCGGGGTCTAGCCCCTCTTGGAAGCTGTGAGAGCAAATACTGAAGGACTAGGAGGGTCTGAGAGAAGATTCTAGGGTAGGGCTTTCATGGCACACAGTCGTGCGGGGCTTCGCCCAGGAATGTCAATCCCATTAAGTCTCTGTTAGCGACTGAGGGACATTCTGACTTGCGATACAAGGTTCCGGTCAGAGTCCCGGTCCCTGACTAGGGATACTGGGCCTGAGTCTCTAAGACCAGATCCTGGGGGGGGGGGGGGGGGCGGTCTGACCCCAAGGTCAGATTTCCGAGCCCGAGGGCTGGTCCAGGATGGGAAATGTCGACCCCGCCCCAAGACCTGTCCCCCAACCCACAGATCCCTAGCATCCGAGTCACCACCGCCCATCCCGACATCGGCCTGGCCCAGCGCCGACCCAAGCTCCTCCAATGCTTCCCGAAACCCCTGCCCCGGCCAAGGCGCTGAGAAAGGCCGTTTGTTACCAATGCCGGTTCCCCGGGTCGCGCCGCCGCCAACTCCTCTAGGAGCCGAAGCCAAGCCCGGCCGCCACCCTCCTCCTTCTCCTCCTCCTCCTCCCCGCCGCCTGGGCCGCCTAGAATCGCCGCCGCCTGGGCCGCCTTCTCCTCCCCCGGCCGTAGTGGTAGTGCTCGACCCTTCCACCTCCTTCACCTCCGCCGCCGACACAAGATGGCGGCCGGAGAGCCCGAGGCCGGAACAAAACCTTGAGCCCCACCCCCCAGGAACCCGGATGCATGCAGGCCGCGCCCATTCATGAATCATGTATAAATGGTCCCTGCCCGCTGCGACCCATTCGAAGAGGAAGAGCTCCACCTGGTGGCGAAAGTGGTAGCAACTGGGAAGAAGAGTTAAAAAAAGACCAAAACACAAAAACCATAGATGCCACGCCCCATGGAACGTGAATAATGAATACATTATTGCAGCCAGGTTGCCAAGATAACTAAGAAAGGACCTCAAAAGGCCACATTTCCTGATCATGAATTATGCATGAGGCCGGGTGGTTGGTGGACTAACTCCCTGCAACCAAAAAGCCAATGTTAAAACATGGAGCCACGCCCCTTCATGAATAATGAATGATCTCACAGCAGCCCGGAAGCCAAGGAGACCAAGGCCACATCTTATCATGAATAATGCATGAAGCCCGGTGGGCTGGAACAAAAGGTAGAGGCCCGCCTACTGCCGCATCTATTACCCTGTAAGCAGGGAAAAAGGGTAGGGAAAACACACTCCCCCGGCTCATAAATAATGAATGATGATGCTGCGGCAGCTCAACCTGGAAACTCAGAGAGGTCAAGAAAGGTCCCACCTAGTTACTTATGAATTATGTATGAAGCTGGATGGACAGAAACACTCAAGACAGCCCTGCCCAGCTAGCAGGGATTATAGTACTCCAGCCAAGGAACACAGCCACGCCTTCCCGTTCATGAATAATGAAAGACGATGCTGCAGGGCCACAGGGGAAACCCAGGGGAAGTGTAGCCGCCTTCTCCCCACCCCTGACTAAGATCAGGGCAGCCTTGGCCCAACTGAATTTAGACTAATATGACCTTGGCAGGTGCTTCAGTTTCCACAACTGTAAAATGGGGATAGTAATACAACCCATTTACCTCATAAAGGCAAAGTGTGCTATTATGAAAATCAGAGAATATGGATCGTGGTGTGAGCTAGCAGTGCTGACACAGGACGCTGTTAAATTTAAGTATTCTATATTAATATAAAAGAACTATGTAGATATATATTTATATTAATATAAAATTAGTTATGGCTGAGGGTATACTCAGTCACTACAGAAAATCCCAGCTTGGGGCATTATTTAAAAAACAATGTCTTGACCAGGCAATGAAATCTTACACAGCACTAAAGAGAGAAAAAAAAAAAAAAAAAAGAAAAAAACAATGTCTTGAGACAACCAACCGCCCAGAAGGACAATGGAAAACAGAATGCTAAGGCCACCAATGTCCACTGAATAGACAGGACAAGAGGACCAGGCCAACAGAGATACAACTGTATGCCAAAGCCTCAGGTACACAATAAGCACTCAACACACTTCTCTCAAATAACAGATCATATTAACAGATCGCATATGATGGTGATGTGTCCTTTCCAGGCATTGTGCCACTGATCTCAGGAATGCAGAGCAGGAAATCAGTTCCTTCCTGGCCTTCAGGTCTTAGCTCAGAGGTGACCTCCTATAGAGAGTTCTTGAACCCTCACAAAAATCATTTCCACCCACCAATGACTAGCTGTGTGACCTAGGGCCAGACACTTCACTTCTCGGGACCACTCTTTCCCCACCCATAAAATGAGAACAGTAGTAACCTACCTTGTGATCAGAGTTTAAACAAGTAAATGGGCAGAAAGGGCTTAGAACAGTGCCAGACACAAGTACTATATGACTAACATTAGTAGTAGTACATGCCATTAAAGTGGCGGCGGAGGGAGACATTGTGGCATTTGATTAAGACTACAGACTCTGGAACTAGATTGACTGGGTATGAATCCTGGCTCAGCCACTCACTGACTGTGACTAACTTTAGGCAAATTACTTAGCCTCCCGGTGTCCCAGTTTCCTCACCTATAAAATGGGATAATAATAACCTACCTCCTAGGATTGTTGTGGGGATTAAATGGGCTAATAAAGTGTGAAATGAATGTAAACTCATCTGATTATCATTATGCCCATACCCATTTTCAGGCTCACAGAAAGATTTGCCAAAGATTACACAGCTGGCAAGGATCGATGGGATTTAAATCTAGAGCCTGTGTTGATAACCTGGAATTACCAGGCCATAAGGAATGAACAGTGTAAAAGGCCTCCTCCCTTCGCTAGAGTTAAGGGTTACTTAAATCCTGGAACCTGTAGGGGAAAGCTAACAGCAGGTCATACAGATGAAACCGTAAAAGCTACGCCCCTCATGAATTATGCACAATTACGCCCCTAGAAAAGCCACAGAAAACTCGGGGCTCTACTCACCTTTCCGATTAATCAATGAGATCTAGTTTGCCCGGCGGACTGCAGAACGCCCCTTCAGCACATCCCTCCAGCACGCTGACCCGCCCCCTCGTGAATAATTCACAAGCCGATACTTCCCCCGGACCAGGTGCGAAAGAGGCAAAAATGGGCTTCCTCAACAGCCCCACCTCCTCATGAATAATGAAAAAAGCCGCGGGCAACGAAGGCTCGGTAGCACGCCGTCCCCTCGGGAAGAGCCTAGCACACTGGGTTCCAGCGTGCCTTCCACAGCCTGGCCCGGAGGGGGTGGGGGGGGTCCCTCTCCCTAAAAACGTGTGGGCTCCGACCTGTCCAGTCGCCTCGCCCCGACTACCCAAGGGCGGGGAGGGGGGGACGGCATCATAGAACCAGAGGTCACAAAGGCTATGGATACGTCCACAATGCCACGTCGGTCCCGAACGTTACCACTGTCACAGGACCTGTCCTGAAACAAGCTTTCCCAAAATTTCACCTTGACTTCAGGAACCTCAAACTTCGCCTCTCCCTTTGGGGAGTACCCCCAAATCCTGCCTCATGGACAGAGAACTCATACACGGACCTTAAGGGTCTCCTCAAACACCCCCCAAAACCCTGTCTCCGAGGGGTGTAAAGCCTGCCTCCGAAGGGTATATAAATCCTGCCTCCCAGTGATACTCCCTAAAACAGACTCCAAATCCCGTCCCGGTGTCCCCAAATGCCACTTCCTAAGGGACCCATCAAAAGCAGCCACCCCGGGCCCAGAGCTCCAAATGTGCCCATTAGGGGATCCCCCAAATTGAGCCCCCTCCCCCAAATGCTGTCTAGGGTTTGGGGGCACCGTGCTCCAGCTCACCCCCTGCGCCGGGCGGAAGCCTCGCCTTCCTGCTGGAGATGAGCCGAAGCCACGGGGCAACGGAAGAGCAAACCACCTCCGTCGTACCAGAGCCAGAGTTTGCGCGGAGCTCGGAAGCGCGGGGCCTTGAAGGGCCCCCGGTTGGGGATGTACCACAGATGCTTAGCTAGAGGGGCGCCCGCCCCTGCTGCCGCGCCGTCGGCGCCCGTGTCAGACCCAGACACCCCTACAGGTTGTGGTACGTCCCGAGCGCGCGAGGCATGCTGGGGGTGGTAGTCCTGTCTGGCCAGTGCCTGGTGCACGTGGTGGGCTACAGCGCCCAGAGTATGGGAAAATGTGAACCTGGGCTGTGGAATTCCTGGAGCTGTGCTCTGGGGGATGGGAAAAGAGAGTGGAACGTGGGGTACCTCCAGATGTAAAGGCACACCCATCCTACAGATGGGAAGGCTGAGGCTCAGATGGCCAAAGGAGTTCATTCATTTGACATTTATGGAGTTCAAGCTGCGGGCCAGGCGCGCTAGGGACTCTTCCCTTGTCCTCACGGAGCAGACATTCCAGCGAGAGAGATAGACCATAAATACAGCAAATGAGTAAAAATCATAGTTTTGCATATAAATACTTAGTAGATACATGTGACTGTATAATATAAATTATATGTAATAAAATATACATATACATAGTTGACATAACGTGATAGCTAGTGTCCATATGTAACTAATTTACATCTGTATATAGTAAATGTCTTAAATACATTGTGTGTATTCTATATTCATAGGTGAATATATAATTAAAGATATATGTAAATACGTGTAGTATATATGTATTTAACAACTGTCAGTGCTATGGAGAGAAACAGAACCAGATAAGGGGAAATCTGTGGGGTCAGGTTGCATTTTGCGAGTGATCAAAGAAGGCCTTGCTGAGAAGGTGATGTTCGAGCAAATGCGTTTCACAGAAAATATCTTTATCACCTTATCCCAAATTCTGTACCTCGTATCCTGTCAACAACCTCCAAATTTATTCATTTGAAAAGGATTTCTTGAGTGCCTACTAAGTGCAGAGCACTGGGAGCACAGCAGAGAACCTATGAAGGAGACTGCCCTTGCAATAGTTAAGAACATTCTTTCCATCAGGTCTTTTCCTTCTTACTCATCTTTTGCCTCACCTCAGAGAGACCTCCCCAGATACTCCCTGTGAGGTAGTCAGGGACCGCCTCTCTGAGGAAGCAGCATGTGAAAAGTGAGGAAGCAGGCCATGTATCATATGGGGGAAGGAATTCCGAACGGATCATCAGGGGCATGGCCTTGGGAGTTTGGGAGTGTGAGTCCCAGTCTGAGGAAGAGGGCAGAAGTCTGTGCAGTCAAGAGAGGAGTGAGGACAGGAGAACACTGGTGATGACATCTGAGGCCGTGTCAAGGAGGGTG